CTCTTTTCGTGAAAAATGAATCCCTTTGAAGAGATGCGTTGTAAACGGTAGCCATACAAAGTGGTTTCCATTCTCATTTCGATCTCCTGTTTCAAGTTTTCCTAAATTCATTTTTTCCAAGCCTCTTTATTCATTTTCCTTCGCCGTTTCTAATCTAGTGTTGAACTCTCCAACGATGAATATAGAGGATTCATCGTTGTGTATTACCTCATCTTTTGTAGAACGCGTACGGTTTGCTCCAATCAGCTGTACAAGTTGATGAGTAGCAGTTGGTGATACTGACCTTCTTTCGACGCCCAAATTGCAGAAGAAAAATGGTCAAGCACGGTGACAGGAGTTCGTACAACGTGACTAGATGGGAGATATATGGGTGTACAACAAAGCCAACGTTTCCGACTTTTCGTAACAAAAATTTTCCTGTACGAATGATAAGGATTAAGTCATCTAATTGGCTTATATCGGTGTTCTTGTTTTTCGTCACTTGTGAGGCGATCACAAGGAGTTCGATGTAACCAGAAACTTCAACGAGATCGTGAAGTTCTGAAGGAAATATGCCAGCCTTATCGATGTGCAGCAAGAAGTAGTTTTTATGTCGTGTCGTGGGCGTGTTAGTTCGGTCCGTTTCCAATGACGTCCTAAACAACGTGGTGTGCGGGGTACTGAGAGCAGATATTTGCTGGATTGATCACTGTGTCTTTCTGGAGTTCCGAGGTCAGGCTAGGCGAAACCTTTCTCAGGTCGTCACCACTACAGGCAGTCTCCTTCGCTTGTGGATCAGAGGGCGATTTTTGCCGTCATGCGACTAGTTTGTTACTAAACCGATAGTAATTGTTAGTGTTAGGTGTTAGTTCATTCCTTTAGTTTAGTTTAGTTTATTAGTTTATTCCTAGCTGCGCTTCCAGGTGGAAATGTCAGACTACTTCTTAGCCTGGGAGACCGTGCTGGAGGATGAAACCCTCCCGGGTGTACACCGCAGCCTGGCACCCAGGAACCTCTCACAGTTACGATAAGACGGTAAAGCGTTGTGGGGTGCGGATGAAAAGATGTTTAAAAATAAAATAATGTACCATGATAAAGGCGTTTTTTTCTAACAAAAGCCATTACATACGTTGACTATTCTATTTATTTTTATGACCTAACGTCACTAAGACCGCATGTGGCGCAGTGGTCGGAGGCGCCCTGTAACACACACGTGAAATCGATTCCTGCATCCATGGCTCACCTAGCTTTCCATTCCTCCGAGGTCGGAAAATTGGTACCAGACTTGTCTGCGAGGATAGCAGCACTGGCTCGATACATCAGTAGGTCACCGCGAGTCATTGTAAAGGCGAGATATGCATTCAATCACCTCCAAACGATGACTGATGAAGTAGAATGCATGGCATATCCCTCAGTAACTGATCTAATTGATCAACGCCGAAAGCTTTACCCTTTTTTTCAACGTCAGTAAATTTGCTTATCCCGACACTTGCTTTCGTAGGATTTGTGGAATTCTTGTGCTTGACCTTAGACCTTACATGGAAATTTTTTGGTCTTTCCCTTTGATTCTCGCTGGAATTTTGAGATAGCTCTACTAATGCTCTCGCTGCTGTTCACCTCAGGTAGTTAGTGCCATATGGATCAGCGGTAAACTTTCGCAAAGAAGTGTGTACCAATATCCCTAACTAGAGCAAATAGAAGCTCGGTTGGCCTGCAGAGGATTCGAAGCAGAGACCGTGCTCGTCATCGCTCACCACTGAAATACGCTGTGAAATTCTATGATAGAATAACTCCAACTCATGAACTGATGTTTATTGTTCTCTATAGATATCATAAAGAGTATCACATGTATCAGCTGTTCGATCTTAGTTGACGAATTCTAAAACCTGAAAATTTCGTCACTGTTGCGTTCGTGCGATGTTTAATGGGTACCAACTTTTTGAGTTTCAAAACAACTGCATGTTTTTTGGAATCTCCAAGGAAAAACCTAGCCGTTCAGTTTGCGCTCTTCTTGTTTTGTACTTGATGCCTTGTGAAGATGTGTCGTTTATGTCTAACAAATACTTATAAACCTTTTCTTTACGTTCAGCCTAAGTTTATTTTGTCTACGCATGCGGACGAAATCGACCAAAATTCAGCCTTCCTGGCTTGTGATTGGTATTACAAAGCAGCTATTGAGTTCCCACCTTTTCTGTTTGGAATTTTGAATCTCTTCGGACGCTTTCGAAACTGATGATAAATTGTGCTTTTGGTTAAATGGTATTACCTTCTTGAACACGCCTTTCGTCGATGGTGCCATAGTTGTAAAATACCGAATCCCCCGCCGTGAAGCAGATTTATAACTCGTCCAAATTAGTTTTTATGCAAAGGTTAGAAACATCTTGACTCTACAAGGGTTCTTCAAAAAACCAGGGCAGATCTTATTCAAATTTTGGTAAAAGAGACACAGCGGTATCTTACTTATTTTTGCGCCAATTCTATGAGTTTTGCGTCTATATGGATACGAACTCTCCTTGGAAACAGCTATGGTTCTCGTTCGTCCAGTGTCTACTCAGTGTTGTGATTGTATGAAAAGATGGCGCAGTGACGGATTGAATTTAAACTGGCAGTTTTTCTTCACAATATTACAGCCACCCCGATTTCCACTGGCTACATAACTTTGATTTTGGCAGATAACGTGTGAACAGCTGGATAGAGGCTTTTCAGATGTTCTTGCTTGCTCCTAGATGGACTGGTTCCAATACGATGTCTAAGCAACAGGATTACATACATCTGACTCTAATGGTTTTCCCTTGACGCCACTGCGAAGACCCTCATCGCTAAAACTGTTGTGAACCTCCGATTCAAACCACTGATGGTTTTTGTAGCAACGATTTGTAGATTTACTAACAAACAAAAATAACGAACATCCAGGATGAAGTTAAACGAAAATCAGTGTTAAAAGTATGTCTCGAATAATTTTGAGGCCAATGCACGTGGGTAAGGAATAGCCCTAAGCAGAAGTCGTGAATGACTTTCTCTATCATATTTTTTAGTTATATGGCAGTTCGAAGTCGTTTATTTTGATCTAATAAGCCTTCGTAATTGGTAAAGCCTCATTGCTGAGGATTTTTAACCTTGTTCCGCATTCACTCAATATTTCTCCTTGTCTCTCCAAAAACTTCTTTTCACCGTTTCTCTTCAGAGCATAGCGCTCTCAGAGGTATACTGATAATTAATGTCGCTCATATAGATCCAGACTTCTGCGTCAGGATCTCCTGATGATTCTAAGGATCTCACTTTTGATAAAACTATCATTAGGACATTGAATGAGGCAATCGTATTCACTCTTTTCTCGTCGAAAATGCTAGTTCTTCTAAAACCTGGAAAGGAAGGAAAAGTCCTGGTTTATCATAGATTTCACATTTAGTTTTCATCCTATCCTTTCTTGTTGGAAAGACTTCACATTGCGTCGTTTATTGTTCAGCAACCGCGAGGTTGTTAAACAGCATACATTTATTTCCATAGAAAAACACAATACAACACAACATTAGCTGACGTTTTGGCACTACCGCCTTCTTCAGAGCCTGGAAGGGTATGCTGATATACAATCTACTAGGCCAAACGCTTCAATAACACTTACAAAAAGACGAAAGACTCTATGGTAATTACATGATCAACAACTTCTCGAAAAACTCACCGCTTTTTACGTGACTTCCAATGAGGAAGTTTAGAACAGCTGATTATAGTCGCATATGGTTGAAGACTGCACCATCACACATCAAAAATCGATGCGAACATACGGAGTCAGGTCGGGTGTGACCTCCGGACATTCGTCCCCGCTATTCATTGTAGGGTTTTCGGCATTTATCCAAAAAGCCTCAAGAAGTTTTCGCGCTGGTGTTTTGGACTCCTGCGCAAGGATATTGACTTTTACTTCAAAATCGTCTCCGCTATGCTTTTGTATCCTATGCGTGCCTAGTGGGGTGCTTCGTCCTAGTTTTCGTTTGCCATCTAGGTGTTCTTTTATACGGATACACAAAGGTCTGCCCGTTTCGCCAATATATTCATCTCCGCAATTATTACAAGAGATCAGGTATATCGTACCTGAACTCATGCAATCACCGTCCCTGTCGTAAGGGCAAATTACGCGATTTGTTGTTTCACATAGACAGTTATACAGACGGTTACGAACTAATTGACGACGTAGAGTAGCCGGTTGTATTTCAATTATCGCTACCGATTCCTCTAGACCTGCCCTTCTTGAGCATCGTTTTATAGCTACGCTTACTTCATCGCTTATAAAAGGCAAGATAGACTTTACATTGTTGAAATGTGGCTTTTTCGATTCTAGTAGAGAGTTCACAGTCGGTTATGCGAAGATTTCGAATAGCTATTGCAATGCTCACTAGTATTATGATGCTTTTAAAGGCATGACCACCTCCGTGGAAGATCCTCATTTGCAACGTTGAAAAAAGGATTTTTGGTAGTAAGATTTCTCTAGATGGTAAACCTACGACCGATCCATGGAGGGTGCTGACTTTTTGTGGTGAAGACGTGACATCGATCTAACATGTTTGCCTTAGAAAATTAGAAAAATCTTATTTAACCAGAAAAATATCCGTGAAATAGGGAAAACGTCGTTTACCATCCCTGCTGAGGCTTGACCGTTTTTTTTGTGAAAAAAGATGAGAAATAAAAGACTTAGACACTTTCTCTTAATCAACCATCGATGGAGGTGATTGAATGAATATCTGGCCCATAAAATGACTCGCGTTGCCCTACCGATGTGTCGAGCCAGTGCTGCTATCTTCGCAGACAGTCTGGTTCCAATTTGCCGACCCCAGAGAAATGGAAGGATTGATGAACCTGGTGTGTTGGATCGAACTCGTTTGTTTTGCACGGCGCCTTTAACCACTGCGCTACGCGCGCTAAAATAAGGTTACAGAACACTATATATGAAACTGAAAGCCAAGTAAACCACCCTAATCGATATTACACTATTTTCGTAAATTCACAGGCTGCTCATCTATCCAAGAAAGATGGAGTTTTTCCGAAAAACGCTCAATATTATCGACTTGCTGACGATACTACCGTTTTATCTGGAGTTATGCCTGTCAATTTTTGGTATTGAGTCACGTTTCAAAGAATTTACAGGTAAGACTCGTATTTTGAAATAGTCTAAACTTCAGACTTTTCTCATAAAGATTTCACTCCAGCAGTGAGAGGAAAAATGTTAGTTGGAACTGATCATAGGTAAATACTACTCTCGTGAAAAACGTGATGGGAAACTTAATCTACTAACTCGACCTCAATGCATGACCCAACGGCACGTGTTTCTTAGTGTCTTAAAACCTACATGAAAGTAGTTTTGTGTTTAATTTTTGTTAGTTACGACCATTGGTACAGACCATGTGTCTAAATGATCGTTGACAAAGCAGATGGTGACCTGCATGGGATACTTGTGACTATTCCTGGTGCTGTTTAATTTCCCATACTCTGACCTTGCACCACTCCATTTCTTCTAAGTCTCTAAAAGGAATAGAGTTTGATAATAAATTTCCTTTTCAATTAGGAGCACGAAACTATTGCGTGACTATTGCTTTCATATGATTTGCATGCTAAGGAAATTGCAAAGAGGAAATAGTATGAAAGTCGGCTGGCGATTTACGACCCACACACACAGTTTGTTAAGGATTATACGTTATATTTCTGATTTTCCAGGAAAATTCATCAAATACCCAAAAAGTAAACTGCTAAACATCTAGGTAACACTAGCATCCACATACTACTTACTTCGATACTTGGGTTATCCGTCCTCATTGGTTGTACTCGCTCCAGCATAATTTCCACTTTTCGGTGTTTTCCTAGTTTAGCCATTGCGGTTCACTGGAGTGCCGAAGTCACCCTAGCCAACGTCTACCCCAGATCGTCATCACGACACGCAGTCATTGCCTTTATGGATCAAAGGAAGATTTCTCACCATGCAACTAGTTTGATACCAGGGCGGTGGTGGATCCTGGTAGTGGTTTCCTCTTAGTAGAGCTTACTGCTGGAAACGCCAGACTCCTTCCCTTCTTGGAATACTCTGGGACGGCGAATTCCCCTTCTGCTCATCGCAGCCCGATACCCAGGAACACCTCCCAACCACGATGAGGCGGTAAACCGTTGGGAGATATCACCACGCAGTGAATAATAAGATGTCTATGCTTAAGGCAATGGAACAAAGCTTCACCACAGCGATTCTAAGTTAGCAACTTCGCAAATTCACTGGTTATCGAAAAACAAAATCGACAACGCTCAACACCTGGTCATACCGAGGCATTTGAATCACAGTAGAACCCGTAACCGACCTGGGAATTGGGCTCGTGCGTTCTGTGTTAATCGCTGAATTATACCCATTTATGTATCCGTTTGTCGCTGTCGGGAGCCAGGATTTGCCAGTTGGCTGCGCACCTTGAAGGGACGTGAAGTGCACTACAGCTTCACATTTTGTTTTGACCAGAAAATTTTCACTGTGAACTTGTCTTAAGCAGGGAGCGCATCCTCCAGATTAATTTGCGACTCATTCTATGCATGCTATCATTTTGATCAATGTTTAATCGGTTATCACCGAGCTTGGCACTCATGAAGTAATCTTTTGACTTAATCGGTTCCAGAAACCTCGTATACGGCAGTTCGTGCACCATTACAAGTTGAGGCATACACCATGTCATTTTGTTTCCTTCATGGCCTTCAGTATACCACATGACTTAAATTCTTAAATATTAATAACTAGTAACTCAGTATGAGTCAGTCTTATAGAATGCGGTTACACGTGTTGAAAAAGGTTGTTTGCCAGGCCAGACTTTCATCAAGCGACAGGGTTTCATGTCCTAAAACGCTTCAGCGTTCTTCTCATTGCATTTCAACTCTTTAAGTCCCTCAAAGACTATTTTAATTCTTCTTAAACTTTACAGGCGAACAGCTAGCGAGAGGAGCACAAAGATGCATGGGTAATTCTATTTTCGTGTCTTTTTCATTGTTAAGTCTGCTTCCTACCGTCCATACGGTTGTCTTCTTGTCATCGATGCGCGGCTATGTGTAGGGTGTAGTCTGCTAACTCAACTAGAAATAAAATCTATTACAGGAGCAATGCTCGTAGTTCGAATTCTTCGCGTACTCAGAATGGCACGGGTGTTCAAACTGGCTCGATACAGCAGAAGTTTGCAGGTGATAAATTTAAGAGAAACAGCTATAACATCTCATTCGTTCCACAGTATACTGGTATTATTTCCCCTCTACCGAGAGGGAACACTTGGTCCATTTCTGACAAATACGAGGAATAATATTGATAGTAAACTGTGCCGTCAACTGCATCCATTCGCCCGGAATTGGCTTCCAGCAGGAAACTTTCACCCTTGTTTGTTTAAACATATAACAGATGCCGTGCATTCTATAGACGGGCGTCCGAAGTAGCCGGTGTAAGCTGCGTATAAGTCATTTTTTCTGATGATTCATTTTTCGGACAGAACGTCTTTCCTGCACTTCCTGTGATTGCTCGATAGCTTACCCAACACATGTTGTGACTGATGTTGCCTGGGAAAAGTTTTATTCTGCACTTGGAGAAATAGTAATCTTTTTCACGAACGAGTTCATTGCCTGGTAATTCAACAGGCAATTAACTCTTATTTCAATTCTAATCGGTGCGATAAATCGTAATTACTTTATGGAATGTGGGGAAAAGAGAACTACCGAAATAGACTCAGCATTAGCTGCAGAACACCCGTCTCTTTAACGATCCTGTAATGTTCACAACCCCTTAGGTCCAATAGCAGAAGAACTTTGATAAGCCGAAAAAGGTAGTCAATGTGCTGCTCTCTCAATCAAGGCAGTACTGTCTTCCTCCAGCTTGAAATTGTTCGAATGCTGCAAAAAGTGGGGAAATAAAAAAACGATAGGCGACCAAGATCTGCATGTTTGTTTACCGTACCAGATTCTCATTATAGGAAAACAATGTGCATTTTTTCAGACATTCGGTCAAACACTGAAGTCGTCAATAACTGAGCTAAGCATGCTGAGCATGTTCTTACTAACGGGTATTATCTTCTTCTCCACAATTATGTATTACCTGGAGAAGGACGAACCGCACACAGATTTCTACTCAATACCAGCAGCTTGCTGGTGGTGTGTGTAAGTAATAATGTTGATTCGAATAACTCTGAAGACATGGTCGAGACCTGAACACTTGTACAATTCAAGCCTTCATTTGCGATTCCACAGATTGAGCGAAGTTTTGCCTCTGCTTAATCTCAGAATTTTTCCTGGCTCTTGCATATTAATATTAAATGTTTTGCAAATAAATAGGTTTGCAAGGAACGACGACGAATACGGAAGCTAACTTTTTCAGCACTGTCGAACTTGTTACATATCATTTAATAGCAAAACATAGCTATGATTCAAGCTTGAGTTTGACTTAGTACTTTGTTTTCTTCCTTTAAGAGTTTCATTTAGGTCCTTTTCACAGTGAAGGACAGCCAATTATAACTTGTTACCCTCTTAAAAGCCAGAGCATTAGTGACATCCCAATGAAAATTACTAAAAAATTTGGAATCCTGTAGTTTCCCAGTTGAAGTAATTTAAGCTATAAAATGTTCATGAGGTGGTCTAACTCAAAAACTCGCTAGTATCAAAGCAATGAGGATGCATCAGTAACGCTCTCATTTGTCCCTGTGCTGGTCAAAGTTGTCCACTAGAGCTCAGTTTAGGAACGCCAAGAGGTTATACTTTTAATAACTCGAAAGACCGACTTTCTATGAACCTCGGCATAGATAGTTGATATATTTATTTATGTGATCTTATAAACTGATCTTCTTAAGCTGACGCGAGATTGGTACAGATCTTCGTTGTCGTTGTCGTTGTCGTTGTTTTTGATGTTATTGAACGATGGCTGACGTTTCGGCGACTTCGCCTTCCTCAGAGCCTGGATGTACCTTATGTTAGAATACTTTTTATTATTCGGTGGAAAAGAAGGTTAAAGTATTAATGAAGATCAAACTTTCAAATAGACGCCATATTGAACAGAAAGGTCACTCACCGTGATGTTATGTGCGGGACTGGCCGACACGTAGTTTACGCGAGCAAGACACGCCCCGGGGTCAAAATATCATTTTGAAATAGGGCGCCAGGTCACGCGTGATAGTGAGGCATTCGTCCTTCCGGTTCATCTTTGGATTTTTGAAATTTATCTGAAACGCCTCAAGAGTTTTGCGCGTTGATGTTTTTGATTCCTGCGCTAGGATCCGCACATTCACTTCAAAATCATCGCCGTTGTGCTTTTGTGACCTATGCGTACCTAGAGGGGTGTTTAAACGGATTTTAGCTTTCCCATCTAGATGTTCTTTTATGCGGACACAAAGTGGTCTACCCGTTTCCCCGATATATTCCTCGCCGCATCCATTACATGAGATCAAGTATATTATACCTAAACTCATGCAATCCCCGTCTCTCCCGTTCGGACAGATCATACAGTTTTCTGAGCTGCACAAACGATCATAGAGACGGTTTCGAACTAACTGGCGGCGTAGGGTATTGGGTGGGATGTCAACAATCGTTACATATTTCGAATTTCGTTACATATATATTTATCAACCTCGTGCAAGCTTATCAAGAAAGAATACAAATCGTTACATAATTTTCAAAACCACTTTTTCTTAAGCACTTTTTAATGGCGTGACTTACTTCATTTGATATGAAGGGCAGCTTAAAGGGGATCCTACTGTCGTCTGAAATATTATTTTGGGAAACTACCCAACGTTTTCCTCTAACCCGAGTGGCTTCTACTTCGTAGCCATGGGAAATGGCAATTTTTCGTGCCAGGTTTCGCGATTCCTTCCTTTCCTCTTCTCCTGTGCACACATTTTTAGCCGTACGATACATATTTTTGATAAGTGCTTTTTTATGTGTGAAGGATGAGAGGAGAGGCAGTGAACTAGAATGTTTTTACTACTTGGCTTGCGATACCCTTTTGTTTTCGTATGGTTATACTTTTCGTATGGGACCTTCTTTTGCACTGTTTTTGGCAAAAGCGTGGCCACTGGTAACCTAGTTGACTTTTGGGTAGGTTTACTCCTAGGTGGGTTACCGGAGGAAATGTCAAATTTCTTTGCCTAGTTGACGTTTCACAGAATAAGTGAACTCTTCGCTACATATTACAGTTCAACGCTTATCTCGACAAAACAGAAAATTATTAAGAAGTTTTCATATTCTTGTTGAGCAAGCAAGACGTATTACTTTTCTTCTACTGAGTACTTCACGTGGACGCCAACCGCAAAGGGTTCACATGGAAGCGTAATGTGCCTCTCACCTTAAAATATCAGTCTTAAATACTATGTAAGGTCATGCGTGATTACAAGGAATTCTCCCCTATGGTTCAATTTCGAATCCACGGAAATTATCCAGAATGCTTCGAGAGTTTTGCGCGCTGAGGTTTCCTCTAAGAAGTTATTCATTCTTGACTATATACCAACATGGAAAGAATACAGGGAAGTTTAGCGAGCTCTGTTAAAACGCACAAGTTCGGGAAGCGTTCCAACTTTCCCAGTTATGTATTAAAGTAGTTGTGCTCATGTTGTTAAAAGATTTGATTCCAAGAAATGTGAAAAAAAAGCTGCAAAAATCTGCATAAAAGTTACTTCAAGTTCCTTATAGAGTCACTATGGCGACAGTCGGTTATGGCGACGCGAAGCCGGTCACTGCTTGTAAGTCCTTCAGCGTTCACCTCAACATAAGCCTCTAAGCAAAAGAGTCATTATCGAATCATCGAGAAGCCAAAACAAAAAGCATACCGAAAGTTTTGGCAACATTTGTAGAAGCTTAGATATGGATTGGACCAAAAAAGTACATATGGCTTAGGATTGGTCTTAAACTCTTATCCGTAGGTATTCGCCACGGTTAGGTGATAATTCATTTGCAGTCGGTAAAATGGTGGCAACAGCGACATCCATATGTGGTATAATCGTGCTTGCATTTCCGATTTCAATGATCGTTGAAAAATTCGCAACCGCTCAACAAAGGGCTATCGAAGACGAACAACTCCATCAAGGTATGTTAGTTGTTCTTCAGTCCTGTTATGACTAGTTATCCGAGTAGTTCAAACCTTCATTCACTGCCCATTCTTTTCTTCATGGCAGCGTGCGATGTGAAATACAACAACAAGAATGCTGAGATATCAGCAAAACTCGGGACCTAACGTGGTGGGCTTCGAAGTCGCAGTTACCCTTCACGGGTTCTCACGTGTTATCCACCACACTAACCAACGCTTCTGCTTTGCCTTTCCCTCAGCCAGTTTTTTTACTTCGTTGGTGTTATCAGCAATCACCCGTCGACGAGAATGATGGAGGGGCACAAATAGGCATTGAACCCGGTTAAGCAGAAGCTGCAGTCGAAATCACAATGTTGTAACTTTTATATAAGCTCCTTATGGTTATCTTTCACATCTTAACTTGCCATTAAAAGGATAGGCAGAAAGTAAAAGTTTCAACATTGTCACTTCGATTGCAGCGTCAGCTTCACTAGGTTCAAAGCTGATTTGTGCCCCCAGATCAATCCCGTTGATGAGTGATAGCACTGATAGAGCTAGAAAAAGTAGCTGAGAGCAAGGCAAATCAAGGGCCACGGTTGGCGTGGTGGATAACACGCGAGCCGCTGGAAAGGGTAATAATTAATAATGATTTTGAAACCCAACTGAGTTTCCGAGTTTTACTAACATCTCAGCATCCCCGTGGTTATCCAAATTGTTATTTTGAAAATCTTGTGGTATTTTCGCACTTGAAATTCAAGATGCAAATGAAAGAAATTTCGCACTATAGTTTTTAAACAGGTGTATCGGTTCCACTTTTGTTCCCGATTATCATTTGCTGTTTGACGTTATTCCGTGAGTACATGTAAGTCCGACGGAGAGTTTCCTACATGGCAAATTGCTAATAGGCACCGGGAATGCATCATAGTAGGTTAAATGACAACTAAAAGCCTATTGTAAACGGCTATTCTGAAGTGCTAAGCTCGATTCACGTACATTTTCCTTACCGAAATGGGGATCGTTGGAAACAATACGTTGCCAACAAAAAGCAAATCTTCGTACTTTTGTAGCGTGAAATTTTAGAGCTCTACACGGAATGCTTTGAAGGTGTTCTCCCCATCGACTTGTTTGGTTGCTATACTGGTTGCTGAATATATTCTTCCCACTGAATTAACAAGATCTTCCCGAATAGCTTTACCTAGAAAGAAGAACCCACCTGCGATATTGGGGAATGAGAAATATTTAATGCCACCACCGCCTAATAGATGAGTCGACGTCGCGAGCACTTCGTTGCTTTTCGTCGCGGTTTTTAACACTTTTGATGACGATGATGTGTGCACTGAGAGAATTCGTGGCAAATGTTATTATTCACAATCTTAATCTATTTCTGCTTTGGAGAAGGAACGCGCTATTACTCTTTCCGGGGGCTGACGCATTCACCATCACACCATGGGGCTCCTTCGTTTCGCCTGTTTTAGCTAGTTTCCTATCTATGATTGCCATCATCACCATCGCACTTGTTCCCTAGAGCAGACAAACGGGTCCGGGTTCTGCAAACGCCTCAGCATCATCATGGTTGTTATTGTTCATCCACAAAACAGATGGTCGTGCTTGTCTAATGAGAGCGAATAGCAGAACAATTCGGATCGACTTATTGATGTCTTCTATTTCAGCACAAGTGTCCGCGACAGCCAATAACTACCTCTTACGAAGATTCCCGACACGGCGTAAATCGAAATTGAATCGCTCAAATGGCATAATGGCGAGTCTTCACTCGAGAACTGAAGTAACTTGAGATTCTCCAGACACTGACATAACCGGCTCAATGCAGACTGCAAGTACTCGTATCGAAGCAAATGCTAACATCAAACAGATCAACCGAATCTTTAAGAAAGCTATAATTATTTTACCTCATTGATGTATATTTATTTTATGGAAGATTATCGTACATATCAAAAAATCATTCGGTTCTTCTTTCAAGTCTAGAGTAAGTAAAATTACAGCTTCTGCACCAATCAATCCAAAACCCTTGGAAACCAGCACAGTGCTGAGTTCCCAAAATGCCTATGACCCACTTAAACAGTCAATGTTTGCGGTCACTACATCAACTAAACACAGCAAGCCAACTCTAGTCCGGATTTTACACTATTATAACTTTTCATTGGATGCGTATGGCGCATTGGTCGGAGGCGCCCTGCAACACACACATGGGATCGATCTCCGTGCCCGTGGCTCACCAAGCCTTTTATCCCTACAGGGTCGGCAAATTGGTAGCAAGCATGTTTGGTGGGATAGCAGCACTGGCCCGATACATCGCTGGGCCACCGCGAGTCATTGTAAAGGCCGGATATGAATTCAATCACCTCGAGTGATGCTTGATGAAGTCGAATGCATGGCGCATCTCTCAGGGATTGATCAACACCAACAGCTTTATTCTTTTATTTCAACTTTTCTTTGAGAAAAAAGACACTTCTCGGGCAATTCCTGATGTTCCAAAAACATTCTAGATCAACAAAACGTATTATATTTGTACTGCACTACTCTCGCAGAGTTCATCGAAAACAGTATATGGTACAGCACAGATATAACAATCACAGAGTATTACAACAGTGAAACTAGAAATGATGCACACTGCATCTGAGCCCCAAAAGGAAGCTTTCATGTACGGACGAACTACATAACTTTCGTAGCTACGAGCGAAACTTTCCAATATGAATCAAACGGACTGCAAAACTACAACAAAAACACTGTCCGCTCAGAATAATATCGTGCTAAAACCACAATGAACAACAAGAACAAATAAAACAAGAACAGAGTAAAACTCAGACGATATGAGAGACATGACACTCGGCAGCGCATAATCACAAGCAGAAAAAGCATCGACGCACCTGATTCTTTCGATCAAAAACTGGCTTCAACAAAAAATAACAAGCTATTGCAAAACAAAACACTTTTCGCTAAAGTATTCCGAATAAACTGCTAACAGTCTCACGTCTTTGTGCAACAAATTTTCGAGCATTTTCCTCTGTGAGAACGAAAGAGATGTGTTGATGGACGTTTAAGTAAGATATTATACGACCCTGAACAGATGAAACGTCATTATGTGGAATTGTTCAGCACAAACAATGCGAGGCAGATCTGCTACGAACCTATATGAACAGCAGATGAATTACAGTTAACCGGTAGCTTCTGGGAGAGAAAGAAGCCTTGTGAAGGATAGAATTTCGAGATCACCGAGTGTGAACGAGAATAACGACCGACGCATGTTACTTCAGGTGGTCCAGATGACGAAAGCTTTCTGAAACAGATTTTCATTTCTGCCAATACCGACTATAAATACTCCTTTTCCATAAGGAATTTCATTTTGTTCTAGTTAAATAGTTTTCGTTAACTTAAGATATACAACTAACGAAAAAAAACGCTAACTAGACGATGACGTGTAATTTAAAGAAGAACGAAACGATCCGAATGCATTTCCCAGTAGTAAGCACAAAAGTTTAAAAGATGTCACAGCTGTTATGCATTGAGTATATCATATAGCATATGAAGATATGGATTAATAGTCTTCAAAGCGGTTCAATCCAATCCCCACTTCACTATCTACCTCTGAAAATACTTACTTACATACTTGGATACTTGGATGACTCGTCCTCACTGGTTGTGCGGGCCCCAGCAAAATTTCCACTTTTTCGGAGCTTTGCTGGTTTAGCCATTGTGGTTGCCTAGAGTCCTGAGGTCAGCCTGGCCAAAGTGTGCCCCAGATCGTTACCACCACAGGCAGTCGCCACCCTTGTGGATCAGGGGAGAATCGCCACCATGCGACTAGTTTGATAATACCAGGACGATAGTGCATGCTGGTAATGGTTTATCTTAGCTGGGCTTCCTGATGGAAACGCCGAACTCCTTCTCAGCTTGGAGGCCATGCTGCGGGGATGAATACCCTTGCTGTATATCATAGTCTGACACCCAGAAACCCTTCCAGTCACGATGAGGCGGTAAACCGTTGGGAGGGTTTCCGTAACAACAGATGACGTAACTGTAAGAAACCAACATTGATAGTAGTACTAAAAAGGATGATTTTACCAATGAATTGAGGAAGTCAAGGCGACCAGCCTCTAGCGAACCACATCCTAGCACGCACACATGGCAACGCCACGGTTCTTTTGAAAAGTCCTAATACAGAGGAAAAAAGCTTACTTTCTCTCGTCCGAGTAGAACAGTAACGTAACCGCTTTCTTGACTAACCTATCATGATGCTATTTAGTACTTCATGAAGGAATGTCACTGCTCCCTCTTGAAGGATTCGGCACTTCACATGACGATACTGTACTCTGGTGTGAACCAGCTGTAGACAGAAAATGATGAGAGCTCTCACTAAAGTAAATCTTTTATCCCAGCATGTTGGAAGTCGTCCAACTGTTTAGTAAAATTAAAGAAAATGAAGATATTCACGAAGCTTTTATCAAGATATGGTACTGTTCTTCAGTCTAACACTCTCCAACTAAGCTATCGGGGCCCCCGTAAGGTCACGCGGTGGACTGAGGCGCCCTGCACCTGTAGCACATATGGGGTCGATTCCTGCGCCCAAGTCTCACCAAATGCTCCATCCCTCCGGAGTCAGCAAGAGAGCAGCACTGGCTCGATACATCGATAGGCCACCGCGAGTCTTTATAAAGGTCAGATATGTATCCAATCACCTCCAAACGATGCTTAATGAAGTCGAATGCATGGCGCATCTATCGGGGATTGACCATCGCCAAGAACTTCATGCTTTTTTGTCCTTTTATAGTATTGTTCCATACAAGAAAGCTAGAAATATGCAGAAGGAGAATCTTAAGGTTTCTCTGACATTTTACAATTTTAAAGCTTCTGCACCACCGAAGTTCATTAAAAAAAATGCAGTTTTGGTGTCATCCTTCCAAGCAAAAATATAAACAGCATGTTATGTCATCAATGGAAGGTGTCTCTGACAACCCACTTGTTTCTACCAAGGCGAGAGTAGCATTAGAAGATATCCACCTTCTACTTCACAAAGATGAGTACCCACCGTAGTGGACGAATTTGTATCAAGCCGGAGTTCTGCACAATCGGAGAAAGGTGAACCATAGAGAACACCACAGACTCGACGTTTCTGAAGGTGACAACGGCGTGCAGAAGCGTGCCGTCTTCGTTCTGTCTGAACACGACCTTCTCCACAGGACCGGCCTGAATAAACAATCGCTTAATCAGCGTAATTCAACTATTAAATACAGAATACCTGGCTCAAAAGTTCGTACAAGTCGTCATCTGTGATCGACTTGTGTATCATCGATACAAACAAAGTCCTCTCCCTCCTATCAAGCGAATTATTCATCACTAGAAACAGAAAAGTTCACAAGAATTGTTGCTTGATTAAATAACACACGAGATAAGAAAACATAGAGGAACTCGATAACAAAACCGGAAAAGTATTCTGGATAATGTGTGCAGAAACAAAATTAAGACTACCAACAAAGCGGTATCGATCCTTCAGGACAGCTAAAAGATGGTTCCGTCGCGTGTGGGCTCCCGAAGATAGTCCCCGAGAGATCCCATCCAAGACGAAGTCGGCTCGACAGGCTCTGACCTCTATCCGCGTCAAGCAGATAGGGCCGCGTGCATCTATCCGCTCCATCAGAGGATTTGAGGCGAGTTGACAATAGCCTCCCACAACGAGGTATGGAGTCGTAAAAGATGATTTTTGGTAAAGGATGTTACCGATAAACATTGACATTCCTATTCCTAGTTCACCTAGTTGATCAAACAACGTCCAATTTTTTCATAAACTCTTCGATAAGAGATATAGACGGGATCGGCACAGATTAGGAGTAAACCTTCTTGTAGGAACCCGAATTCGTCCTAACTGCATTAATACGTCAAACTCGTTCGATACGATGTATCAACTACATGAACTTGGCTTACAAATAAGGCGGTAGATAAGCCAGACCATAATGGGTTATTACTTGTACTGCTACTGGGGACGCGCTTAGTGCAGTGGTCGGAGTGCACATTAGTTTAATCCCTGCGCCCGTGGCTCACCAACCGTTCCATCCCTCCGGGTACAACAAATTGGTACCAGACTTGTCTAGGAGGATAGCAGCGCTGGCTCGATACATCGGTAGGCCACCACGAGTCATTGTAAAGGCCAGATATGTATCCAATCACCTCCAAACGAAGCTTAATGAAGTCGAATGCACGGCCCTTTCCTCAGGGACAGATCAGTGCCGAAAGCTTCTATCCTTTACCTCTACTGGTAAGAGTGAAACAACTTGATGACCCTATCGCTATAACCACAAACTCTCGATTTTTGACGTCCTCAGATTATGCCTTTGGTCTTCGCTTTTGCTTTCATCACTCAGTGAATGCGTCACTACGTTGCTGCTCAAGTGAAACATATTAATCACGATTCATTAGCTAGACAGAACGTCCTTACATTCTACGGAACAAAAAGGCAAGCGTCGAGGTTCCACCCACTTGACATCGCCTGTATTGCCGTTATGGATAGCTGCCTTTACAACCAATGATGAGACCGCAAGCGGGTAATTGTCGTACAAACCGATGCCGGAAATGATTGAGTCCGACGTGGCAGGTGATAAAGTTAGCACTTCGTAGTGAAGCTAGTGTACACCTGGTTCGCCTCGCGTTCTCACGACCCTTAGTTTGATTCTTAGATTCGCCGACAGTCGTTCTTCTTTATAACCACTAGTGAGTTCAGTTAATGATTCACACGTGTTTTGGTTAGTGTTCTACAGAAATTCCGAGCAGCTCCACAGGTGTACGAAGTTCCCTGACACCCACCATCCACGATTTAGCGACCGATCACTAATAGTTCCTAAGGAGTTAAACAGTTCGCTATGTGGTATGGCCTCATTGCAAATAATATCCTTGGTCAATTGCCAATTAAACGAATTTTCATAAAAGTTAAATTGTAGACGATTCATGGATTTACCGACTCAGAGTGCAGTGATAACAGAATTTGTAAAACTAGTTGATAACTGTCTTCCAAGGGTTTGCCGCCTCATCGTGGCTGCGAGGTGTCTCTGAGTGTCGGGCCGCGATGTGCAACCGTAGGGATTCATCATCCAAGAGGGTCTTCCAAGGTGAGAAGAAGTCCGGCGATTCCACCAGGAAGCCCTGTCGTGGTGGCGATCTGGAACGACTCTGGTCTGGCTGACCTAGGAGCTCCAGGGAACCACAATGGTTGGACCCGCAAAGAAGAAAAATGGAAATTATGCTGCGGCTCTCATAACCAGTGGAAACGGATCATCCAACTATCCAAGTAAGCTGATAATTGCAAAGGGTGCTCTGCTTTAAAATCTTCGCAGGGTTTCTAACATGCAGAGAAAGTACAACCACTTGTCGTCTGAACACATAACTGCGAGCATGGACTTCTACGGCATAAAAGGTACAGTTCAGCATGTGAAGTACTGCAGAACAAGTCATTTTCTTCGCATTTTTGTTGAGCAAACGCGAGGTGTTACTATTCTTTGTTCACGATTAAGCTGACGTTTCGGCGGATTTCGCCTCCTTCAGAGCCTGGAAAGGTCAAGTTGATAGCAATCCACTCGGCCAGACGCCTCCATAACCAAACAAAGAAACTCCAAACCAAGATTTCAATCACTTTGAACACAGCTTTGCACACTCACAGCTTTCTATGAGGTTTCCACTAAGTATGTCACGTAGAGACCAACCGCACAGAAATCACGTGGAAGTATAATGTGCCCCTCACATCAGAAAAGCAGTTTTATATACTGCCCTATATCACGCGTGATAATGAGGCATTCTTCCCTGCGGTTCATTTTCGGATTTCTGGAATTAATCCAGAGTGCCTCGAGAGTTTTTCGCGCCTGTGTTCTTGATTCGCGTGCGAGGATCGTGACACATACTTCGAAGTCGTCCCCGTTATGTCTCTGGGTTCTATGCGTGCCTAGTACAAGTACGGGTCATTTTTGCCGGCTAGGTGTTCCTTCATGCGGACACAGAGGGGTCTACCCGTTTCGCCAATGTAATTTACCGAGTAATCTTAAGTGCCAGCTAGTTCGTAACCGCCTATATGACCGTCTATGTGCAACTCAAAATTGCATAATTTGCCCCAGTGGTAGAGACGGTGATTGCATGAGCTCGGGTATAGTTTATCTGATCTCCTGTAAGACATGTGGTGACGAATACATTGGCGAAACGGGTAGACCCCTCTGTGTCCGCATGAAGGAACACCTAGCCGGCAAAAATGACCCGTACTTGTACTAGG